GTGACTTCCTGGTTTAATTGGTTGTAGTTAAGTCATATCAACTGAATAAGTTGAATGACTAACTGGACTGTGTTTTGTATGTCACCTCAATGAACAATTGAATGGCATACTCTGGATTTGGACGGACTTTAGATATATGATTATGGTACCACGAGATGAGCTTGAGTCTCAGGCTCGTTGGTTAGGGTGCGTATATGCAGTGGATGCGTAACTAGATATAGTAGGTAGGTGTACCATGTTAGGTCTAGGTACTCATGCCCACCTTTGGGTGCGTTTTCGCATGTTGCCTTCTATTCAGGTTGAGACCCCTATTATAGTCCAGTGAATGTCCTTTAGTGTAGATATATATATATGTATGGACTACATGGATATTGTGAGGTATCTAGGGTATATCTGCGTATCGGGTCACTGTATGGATTGCAGTTAAATTAGCACTTGCTCGTGGGCCTGACCCACTCTTTTATTCTTTTCAGGTACAGGGCGGTTCCAACCTTAAAGCTTGATCGTGCTGTTCGAGGACAGTTTTCCATTCGTCATATTACGTAGGACTTCTTTCGATGTTCCAGTTTTATTTACTTTCAGTTATTTTAGTTCAGTTGGGATTTTGTTTAGGGGTCCACTAGATGGATTCTCGAGTTGTAATCATGGAGGTTTTGGAAGTTGGATTTTATTAAGTTTTATCAGTTGAGGATTTTATATAGTATTCTTTTCAGCTTTTAATATTTATTCTTATTTCATTTTGTCATCTGTGTTCATTTTAAAATATTAATTGTTTGATATTCCCTCGGGTTTGGGCCTGGTCCTGATCAACCCGTGTCTCAGATCCGAGGAGTATCACACATCTTCTATTTTCCCCTTGAGATCCTCGATCTACAGGTTGAGATAGGTAACTTTCTTTGTCTTTTTCTTAAGACAGAAGACTGTGCTTTCAGGAGGTCGGGAACTCCATGGGAGAGATGGGTGGACCACCTCTCTATGTCGAGCTCCCACCTGGCTTTGTTCCACTTCAGTCTCATTTTGGGGGGGATGATTATCTTGCTCTTCAAGACTCCCATTCCCTCCGTTTGAATTTGAGAGATCTTGTTGTGGCAAGTTTTGTTGAACCGGTGGAACAAGATGTTGTAGGAGTGCTACATTTTGCTGGATCAACTGGTCTATACCCTGACTCAAAGTTTGGACCTGCAGTTCCAACGCTGCAAGCCGTGTCTGGTCGTTTGGGATGTCCAGGTTTTCACCTGACCCTACCCTTTTACCAGATCCTTGCGACGGTGTTCCTTTGGTAACCATACCAGACTGCAAACGTATATACCCAATAAAGTAATTAATTGATTCAAGGGAATCGTCGTTCCCACAGATGGCACCAACTGTTGAGAGTGAAATTCACGCGGTCCGATACGACACCGTTTTCCTGCAAGAAAGAGAGAAAAAGATCGATGAACCTTGACCACACCGGTATGGTGCCTGCCAAGAGCTCTCCGATGGTCAAGTTAGTCACCGGAGGTCTAAAAAGAAGGCAGGAATTTAATAATAGTTTTTTCGTCGTACCTTATTCCCGAGTCGTCGTCCTATTTATCGTCGCTTCCCTTATTCTCGATAAGGGAATTTCATTATCCTCATCCCATGGGACTTATCCCATGAAAATCTTATCCTTGATAAGATTTGTCATCATCCGCATGGAAATCTTATCCTGCATTAGATTTGTCATCATTCTTATCCATGGAAATCGTTACCTCTAATAATAAAATATTATCATTGATCACCGAAAAGATCTAGTGGCTGGTCAACACTTGGTTGCCTCTATCGTTATGTCAAGATAGGTTTATTTTTCCCTATCATATGATATGATGCAGGGAATCATATATATTGACTTTAGTAGTTTTCAACTAATAAACATGCCAGCTAACCAAATGAACAAACCTAAATGAAAACATACTGAATGCTTTTTTATATTATTCATTTTGTCAATAAAATAAATCTTCCTTTTAAAATATATAATAATAATAATTTTTTTTTAAAAAAAAACTTTGAGAATTTGTAGAATAAGGATTTGAATTTGTTGAGATTTCAGTTTACTGTTTACTACTAATTTTTTTAATCTTTATTTATTTTTTTATTTTTTATTTTGTAGCAACAGTGTTAAACAAAAAATAATTATAAATAAATAAATAATAAAAAAATCCCAATATCAGTGTGCATGCACTGGTTTTAAGAGTTTGGAGCATATTTGTTTTCTTTAGTTTGTACTTTATTTTTGTTTTTTATTTTCTATTTTTATCTTTACTTTACTTTCATTTTTATTTTCTATTTTTATCTTTACTTGTCCATTGCCGGTGTCCTCCAATAGTGTCTTTTTCAGTCATTTTACAAATTTATTTATTTTTATATATTTTATAAAAGGTTTAATAAGGTTAATTTAGTTAACTTATGATTTAAATTTTGTCAAAGGGGCTATTTGCACCAAATTGAAACTTTAGGAGTGTTTTTTGTAAGTGAGGGCGTCCTCCAATAGTTTCCTTTTCGGACATTTTACAAAAAAAAAATTATATATATTTAATAAAATGGTTCAGTAAGGGTAATTTAGTCAACTTATGGTTTAAATTTGTCAGAGGGTCCTATTTGCACAAAATTGAAACTTTAAGGGTATTTTTTTATCCGTAAAAGTATAATATGTACTGTAAATATACTTTAGGGGTGATTAACCCCTATTCATACTCAAGCATCCCCTTACCTAACTTTTAATGCCCATATATTAAAATAGTCCTCACGCTACATCTTATTGAGAAACTAATCCAAATATGTATGAAAGCAAGGGCATTATTGCAATTTAGCTACACAGTTTGGTACCTACCTGCTTATAAATACATGAGCCTTCACATCCATTTCCCTACCGATAGATTTAATCAAAATCTATTATATATCAGAGAGAAAAAAAACATACACATACAAGAGTGAGAAAATGTCGAACACCACGAGCACGATGACTTGGGAGACACTTCAAATGGGAAATGATGGGAAGTTGTCCCTTCAAATGGGAGGTGAGCAGCTGTGCCTGCAAACGACAGACGATGGAAAGGTGGAGGTTGTGGGAGCTGATGGAAAGGTGAAGTCTATTTTTGACTTGGTCACTGTGATTGATCCAACTGACTCTAAAGTGATAGAGATCGCAAAGACGGCGTGCAAGGAATACAAAATGGAGTTCCAGGGTGTCATTACTGGTGTCAAAGTGAGTGTTCTTTTGGGGGCAGTTTACTTCCTCATTATCTCGGCCAAAGACAGCACCGGTGCTCCCAAAGTATTCTTCACTGCTGTTTTTGAGAGCTTTTTAAAAAGGCTCGTCCTCCTGTTCCTGTGTGTGCCATGGCCCTTCTAAAAGTTGGCACCCATATGAGAAAAAATTGGCAGATGATCCAAGGGTCCCATTAAGATCGTATGTGTGTGTGTGTATATATATATATATATATATGTTCTTAATCTTATCTGTCAATATAAAATTTACTAAATAAAGGACCTGTTGTTAAGCAAATAAAAGGACACGAGATGGGGGGTCAGGCAGTCCCTACTCAATGTAACTTTGGTTTGATCCTTATGCATGTGTGTTGTTTGTTTTATTTTGTTCAATCAACTCTATTTTTATACTATATATAGATGTATGCATAATGTGTTTGGTGTTTGTGTCAAGTCATATATATATTTTTCCCAAGCTTAAAACATTGCGGTGTGAGGTATAAGGTTTAAAGGATTTAGTTGAAATAAAATATTTCTATCATTGAAAAATAATTCTAAAAAATGACATAGTTTCATCCATGGGTATTAAAGTCCTCGGAAAATTTTCATGAATATATTTTCAGGAAAAAAAAAGTGCATAAAACCTCTTCGTCCTTAAAGGGTAGTTTGGCCATTTCAACTTGTCGTTAACCCCATGTAGACACTAAAATTTCATGGACTATTGTTTTGACAAATTGACCTATTAAATATGGGTCTCATGTTTAATTAAATTATTTAATTGTCCCAAACTTGGTCCACTTAAGTTATTTAATTAATTAGCCCAGTCCAGGTAATTAAATAAAAAAATAATTATTTCTAATAAAATATATTGGAATAATTTTTTTTTTTGGATAATTATCACAATATATGGATAATTTCATATTATAACCAGCCCGGCCCAATTATCATTTTGTCTATATCAGGAGAGGATACGTGTCATCATCCTATTAATACAAAATGCCTATAAATAGAGGCATGGAGGAAGGAGGAAAAATGTCCAGAAATTGAGAGACTCACAAATCTAGAGGGCCATAAATCCTAGAGAGAAATACAGAAACTCTGCCAATATTCATTCCTAACACCCAAGCCTGAAGGCGAAGAGCAACAAACATATCAAATTGTGTCGTTCTTCATCAAAATTTTACGGTGATCAATAATAACCACATCCAAAGTCGTGTCGTTCTTCACCAAATTCAACAAATTCTCTCTGAAAGCGAAGAACAACAAGCACATCTAAGGCTGAGCCGTTCTTCCTCAAATTCAATAAAGAACAATAAGCATATCAAAATCGTGCCGTTCTTTCCCTACAATTCAACAAGTTCAAATAATCATCAAACAACATTATTCGAGATCAAACTTCGTCAGCCCTTGATCAAAAATCATCAACGGTCTTCCTCAACTACAAATACTTGAAGAAAATTGTCAACAACCCGATTCAAGATCAAACTCCAACAACCCTTGGATCCAACCAACAAAGGAGATCAAATCAGAGGATATTTTCTTTCTTTTGTAAAGAATATCTCAGAGGATTATACTCAAATTTTCATAAATTAATAAAGTTCTATTTGCTCCATATTTTGTTCTTTATTTGCAGATTACGAAATTTGTGTGTATAAATTTTTGGCACGCCCGGTGGGACATTCTCTGCATCTCATCTCTTTCTCCTACATCAAATCCTCAACAAATTCATCGTCAGATTTTATAGCTTCCAACAAAATTCAGACGAAGAGCAAGAATTACCCCAAGGACATCGCAGTTGTGACGGACAACATCAATACCACCACAAAAGGTGATAAGAAGGTTGCAACTTCGTCAAGTGGTACAAACACCTCTGTAAGTTCAATGATATGGTGCATGGTCAAATCATCCGTTCCTGCCAAAAGACAGCACGATGCGATGAGAGTCGATTCTGCCAAATCTGTCAAAGTAACAACTCAAACTCATACTGCCTTCACCCCGCTAGGGGTAAGGAAGAAGGTTCCTATAACCTCAAAGGTTGCTCCGATCACAAGTTCAAGCTTAAGTCCACCCAAGGCGAAAGATTTTTTCTAACTTTGTCACTATGCTAGTCATGATGACGAGTATTACCTCGTACGAAGAGCAATTGACGAGTATAGCCAGTGTAATTGAAAGATTACAACACACTCTCAAGGAGTAAGATTTGAAAATTGTCTTGTAGACATAAAAGTTAAAATTGAGTGACGCCAATGCTGAGTCAAACAAAGGCCGAATTCCTCATTATAATTCTATGCCAGAGACCACTCCAATTGACGATCAAAATGACATGTCCGCTAATCCAACAATTAAAGCTGCCTCCGTCGCCTCACTTTCTGTCCAACAACTTCAAGATATGATAGTGAAATGCATAAGAGAACAATATAGTGGCATTCCTCAAAGTGCTCGCATGTACTCAAAGCCTTACATAGAAAGAATTGACATTTTAAAAATGTCGGTTGGGTATCAACCTCCAAAGCTTCAACAGTTTGACGGAAAAGGCAATCCCAAGCAACATGTCGCACACTTTATAAAAACTTGTGGCAATGCTGGTATAAACGAAGATCTCCTTGTCAAGCAATTCTTCGTTCCCTCAAAGGGAATGCATTTTATTGGTACACAGACCTCAAATCTGGAGGTATTGACAGTTGGGAGCAGATGGAATGAGAATTTCTCAACTGTTTCTACAGCACTTGTCGTACTATAAGTATGTTGGAGCTTACAAACACAAAATAGATGAAGGGTGAACCTGTGGTTAACTACATCAACCGTTGGCGAGCTCTAAGTCTTGACTGCAAGGATCGTTTGTCTGAAATTTTTGCAGTTGAAACATGTATGTAAGGCATGTGCTGGGAGCTTCTTTACATCCTACAAGGGATTAAGCCTCGCACATTTGAAGAGCTTGTTACTCGAGCCCACGACATAGAGCTTAGCGTGGAAAATCATGGTGCTAGGGAAGATGTTCTTGATATACCCGACAACTTTCAAGAAGATGAGGGAAGTGAGGCCAAAGAAGAAAATAATATACTTTCTAACTCGGATGACGAAGTAGCATCATCTTTCATTATAAGCATTATCTCGAAAGATTTGTATCAAGAAATGCACCATGCTATAACAATGACTTCAACCGAAAATGCTAAATCATAGGGGGCATTAAGTCAAGGAAACCAAAAAGAAAATCCTCAAAGTGATGACGAGATAGTCCGTACCCTTCAGCATAGGTTTGGATTGCCATCTGATTCTTGCAAATTTGAAAATTAATTAAAATTGAAGTGCTCCCAGATACGAGTCTAAACTGCAGATGACACTCCTTGATACGAGTTTAAACTATCTCCCAAAAAAAAAAAAAAAAGCATGACACTCCTTGACATGAGTTTAAACTGTATACCTGAAAAAAATTCAAGAATTTCTTGATACGAGTTTAAACTGTTTCCCAAAAAAAAAAAAATTGATATTCCTTAACACGAGTTTAAACTGTCTACCTGAAGAAAAAAAAAAAAAAAAAATCAAGAACTCTTTAATACAAGTATAAACTGTTTGGAAGGGGAAAAAAAAACTCTTCTTTTGAAAAAAAATTGAACTATGTGGTGACTTGATTCCCCTGTTCAGGGTACGTAGGCATCTTAGAGGTTTGTTCCAAGTTCAGTCCACCCGAAAAAAAAAAAAAAAAAAAAAAAAAAAAAAAAAAAAAAAAAAAAAAGGTCTTTAGAGTTGCAAAATGGCAAAGTGTGTTCGTCACAAGATATCAAAAGGGCTAGTCGCAATTTGTCAACTTCACTTGCTGTCAAGATATTATTGTCACTCATCATTTAATATCATAAGTGCTTGTCGCATCCAGTAAACTTGGCACTCCACCGAATTGTTGTTGTAAAGGAAATTTTAGTCTGTCGCCAAATTGTAGCCACAAGAAAGAGCCAAAGAATAGCTTTTGGTTCGTCACCAGAATTGTAGTTGTAAAGGAAAATTTGATCCGTCGGCAAAGTGTAATTGCAAAGAATAATTTTGCAGTTCGTTATCAAAGTGTCATTGAAGAAAAAAATTCTGCTCGCTGCCGAGATATAGTTGAAAGAGTAATTTGGCCTCCTGCCTAGGTGTCGCTAAAAGAGAAATAAATTCGACTTGCTGCTAAGGCGTCGTAGAAGATGAAAAAAAAAAAAAACACACCGATGGGCATGCAAGCTTCGTTTGTCAATTCCTCCTCACGCGGTATGCAACAACTTCTTGAGGTATCATTGGAGAAAAACATTAAATTCATCGCTGAGGTATCGGTTTTCCATCACGTCAAGGAATCTCTACAAAATAAATAAAAAAATAAAAAACAAAGTCAGCTTGTTGCCGAGGTGTCGCTGAACGGAGTTATTGATCGCCAACTTGTAGCTGACAGTCCATGTAACAACAGTCTTGCCACCGTTCTCGGTCTGTTTATACCTTCAGTTCAGAACAGAGATCAACCACGCATCGTCAATGGTTCTGGTAAACCTCCATTAACAGACCCAAAAGCCCCGGCGTGCTCGATGTTTGGCAAACTTCAGTTTTGGCGAGAAAATCTGGCAAGAATCTCAGGTGATCTTCGGGGATAAAACAAGTCCAACGAAGCTTCAATCTACTCAACCCAACAACGTGAGCTTCAACGTTCAAACTTCATGTTTTTCGGTGTGCTTCAACAATGACCAATGTGAGCTCCAACCAAACAACGTCGACCAAACTTCAGCCAGCTTAAGTGAGTTGCCAATCTGTTTCTTCTACCCAACCAATTTCTTCTTGGTGGCCTGTGGGCAGACGGACTATCTTGTTGGCATGCTCTCGGCACTGGTGATAGAAAAGGATCCCGTGGAAAAAAAAAAAAAAAAGGTTGGTTCATACTCAATGAATGTAAGCAAAGCAGGGCGTGAGTAGATTTATAAGCAAAGTAAGTCAGCAGATGTGCATCTAATTCGAAGACCTTATGAAGCTGGGTTTTCTAATTATATTAGAACTCCTTTGAAAACTGATATTGGGTATAAAAATAAATAAATGTGGCTGTCCAATGCACCTACGTGTATGTGGACACAAGTGGCTTCTGGAGTTCGTTATCTATGGAAGTATTTCAATTTGACTTGTCTAAGATCACTTTAAGTGATCTTGAAAAAAAAAAAAAAAAAAAAAAAAAAAAAAAAAAAAGTTGTCAAGACAGTGCCTTGCATGGTTGGAGCATGATCAAGAATGAAGTACAAAAAGGTCATAATGCTAACAAGAAGACAAATGTGATTGCATGACGTACAACAATGGTTGAATGAAAACAGAAAAAAACTGATCAGTGAACTCAAGCTATGCCAAACCCAATGCCACGGGTTGAATATATAGCCAATAAAAGATTTCTATTTGTAATAGGATTTCTTATTTGTGATAGGATTTCCAGACTCCAATTTGATTCAAGTATGGAGAGCAAGGAAAACATGATTTAGCTTGGACACGTCAGAGCTTTCTTTTTCTTTTTCTTTTCAAAAAAAAAAAAGTCCTGTTCAAGTAAACCAAGAAGTTAACCTTGGTGTTCACCCAAGTAAATCAAGAAGTCAAATCCCACATGTATTTGAAGACATTCCAATTAAATTGGGTCTTTCTATTAATGCCAGTTAGCATTGCTGGGTTTGGAGAAGATTCTAGTTTACAAAAAAAAAAAAAAAAAAAAAAAAAAACTAATCTTTTGTGGCCTAATGACTTCAATTCACATTGAAAGTTGAATAAGAAAAATGTCCTGGTGGAAATAAAATTTCGGAGAAAGAAAAGAAAAGAAGAAAAAATACAAGTGAATGCACTTTGCCTCACCTTGCCTTGAATGTTTGTGTGTTGTCCATGTGGCTCGTGATCTGGCGATGATGAAAAAAAAAAAGAGTTGATTGTTGGCCAAATTACAAGTCTTGTGATCAGCACCCCACTATTACACGTGAATCTTCGCAAGAGTCTCATCCAATTACATATCCATGCAACTATTCTACAAAAAAATATATATAAAAAATGGAGAACTTCAAGCCTCGTCACCAATATTTAGCAAGTATGAAGCCGAAACTCTTTTGACAAATTAACCCATTAAATATGGGTCTCATGTTTAATTAAATTATTAAATTGGCTCAAACTTGGTCCACTTTAGTTATTTAATTAGCCCAGTCCAGGTGATTAAATAAAAAGATAATTATTTCTAATAAAATATATTGGAATAATTATTTTTATGAATAATTATCAAAATATATGGATAATTATCACAATATATGGATAATTATCATATTATAACCGGCCCAGCCCAATTATCATTTTGTCTTTATCAGGAGAGGACACGTGTCATCATCCTATTAATACAAGAAGTCGATAAATAAAGGCATGGAGGAAGGAGGAAAGAGGAAAAAGGTCCAGAAATTGAGAGACTCGGAAATCTAGAGGGCCAGAAATCCTAGAGAGAAATACAGAAGCTCTGCCAATATTCATTCTTAACACCCACACCTGAAGGCGAAGAGCAACAAGTACATCAATTCGTGCCGTTCTTCATCAAAATTCTACGGTGATCAATAACAAGCACATCCAAAGTCGTGCCGTTCTTCACAAAATTCAACAAATTCTCTCTGAAGGCGAAGAACAACAAGCACATCCAAAGCCGTGCCTTTCTTCCTCAAATTCAACAAAGAACAACAAGCACATCAAAATCGTGCCGTTCTTTCCCTACGATTCAACAAGTTCAAAGAATCATCAAACAACACTGTTCGAGATCAAACTTCGTCAGCCCTCGATCAGAAATCATCAGCAGTCTTCCTCAACTACAAATACTTGAAGAAAATTTTTAACAACCCGATTCAAGATCAAACTCCAACAGCCCTTGGATCCAACCAACAAAGGAGATCGAATCAGATGATATTTTCTTTCTTTTGTAAAGAATATCTCAGAGGATTGTACTCA